CCTGCGCGCTCTGCGCGCCCAGCACAACTGGCGACCACGTCTGCCCTGGCCAGTCTCCGGGGGCCTCCCGCCGCCGTCCTCCGTGCTGACCACCGCCTGTGACCCCCAGATCCTTGTCCACATCGGCTTCCTGACCGAGGAGTCCGGGGACGTGTTCAGCCCTCGCGTGCTGAAGGGCGGACCTCTGGGGGAGATGGTGCAGTGGGCGGACATCTTGGCGGCTCTCTACGTGCTGGGCCACAGCCTGCGGGTCACAGTGTCCCTGAAGGAGCTGCAGAGGTGAGTGCCTGGCGCGGCCACCGGGGCCCTGCTCCACCTGCAGATCCACGCCCCGGGCCAGGGGCTCCTGGTGTGCTGTGGGGTGGGGGTGCCCCCAACTTCCTCCTCCAGCTCCCCAGTCTGTCCCCCCTTCTCCCTCTGTGCTGATGCCTGGCCATGCCCGTCGGGGACACCCCAAGGCAGCGTCTTTGCTCAGTGCTGTTCAAATAGGCTCTTTTCTCTGTCTCTGGCCAGCGGGACCCCAGCTTGCAGCACGGACTGCAGGTGTTGGCTGGTGGAACTGAGTCACGTCGTCCCGATGGGGCCCCCTCTGCCTGCTGCCCTGGGGGGCGGGTGCTACCTCGGGTTGTCGCTTCTAAAACTGTGCTGCCCAGCCTGTTCTGGGGCCCGAGGGTCAGTAGAGGCTACAGGGCAGTGCAGTGGGCTGTGGACACCACCCCTCCCTGGCGTTCGCTCCCCAGGGTCAGACGTGGGGACTGGGGCAGGAGGGGGCGCTTGGGAGTCTTTTTTTTTTTTTTAAGATTTATTTATTTATGCATACAGAACCGGGTACAGGCCAGAGGTGCAGGGTGGTGAGAGGATTCCCCAGAGACAGAGTGGGAAGCAGAACAGGCAGATTGACAAAGTCCACTGCTGAGGGCAGCAGCGGGCGGGTCAGGAGAGGTCTGCCGCTGTGGTCACCTCCGGGGCATGGGGGGATCGAACTCATGCTGAAGCGGCTTCAGCTTCTCCATGCTGCGCTCTGACCCGCGGCGCCGCCGGGGGGGGCCTGGGAGTCATTTTTAATTATACATGTGTGCAGCTAGATCTTCCTTTTCTTTCATTTGCTGCTGTTTATCACAAGACGTCCGTGCCTCGGTGCCGAAACGCGCGTAACATAGGCGGCAGAGGCCAGGATTCCCGGGAGACCTCCTGGCCTCCTGCCGACCCTGAGGAGTGAGGGTGCCCAGGACCCCGCCCTGCCCGGGCGCCCCTCGCCTCCGCCCCCCGAGGCCTGTCCCTGGGATTCGGTGCCGCGTTGTCGTTTGGGGCTTGGCTTTGGCCTCGTGAGGGAGCAGGCCGGCCGCAGCCCCGGCCCGCGGTGGTGGCTGTGACTCTGCTTCGTGGTCGCCTTGACAGTTGAGTCGGAAACATCGGTCCAGCTGCCGGCCACAGCTGCCGGTCAGGGCTCTCCTGTCCGAGGCCTCCCCCCAGGGCCACCGCCGGGCCACGCGCTTGCTAGCCGAGGCCGTGCCCCCGGGCCCCCAGGACTCGGCTTGCACCCCAGCGCCGGCGGCCGAGCGTCCCGTGGCCGCCGTCCACCTTGTCCACGTGCCCACCCCTCGTGCTGACGCCCCTCTTCCGCTGGGTGGGGATGTTTTCCTCACTGACTGGTAGGAGTTCTTTGCGCACTGTGGGCATAAGCCCAGGGGGAATTGTGTGTTAAGGCTCTTCTAATCGGTGGCTTGCCTTTAGCATTATTATTTTGCAGGTCAGGAAAATCTTAATTTTCACGTAATCAAAGTTACCTCTTTTTCTTTGCGGTGAGCCGCCTTGTGCTGGGCGGGTTTCTGTTCCTCTTTTTCACTGGCATCCGGATGAGATTTTTCTGACTTTAGCCCACGCTATATCTAAGATGGCCCAGAGTGTTTGCCCGCAAATCAATTTTTAAAAAAAGATTATTTATTCATACAGAACCGGAGTACAGGCCAGAGATGCGGAGGGTGAGAGGAGCCACCAGGGACAGAGCGGGGAGCAGGACAGGCAGATCGACGAAGTCCACTGCTGAGGGGAGCAGCGGGGGGGCAGGAGAGGTCTGCCGCGCCCTGTGGTCACCTCCGGGGCAGGCGGGGACCGAACTCATGCGGAAGCGGCTTTAGCTTCCCAGTGCTGTGCTCTGACCCCAGGGAGGGCTGCAAATCAATTTCTCTTTATCAGTTTGTTGACCATCTGGTGGTTTTGCACTCACAGAGTTCCCGTTCAGAGTCCGCCGCCCTCTGGATGGTTCTGATCAGCATTTCTTCCTGGCTGCAAATTGGAGAGGGGGTGTGACAGGGACAGAGCCAGGGACAGTTCCAGGTCACTTGGGCTGTCTGAAGGTCACCCAGCCGGAAGAAACCAGGCTGGGAACTGTCCGCACGTGTGGGTGCTGAACTGCCCAGGGCTGGGGAGGGGGCTGGGCCTCCCTCTGCTCTCACCCTGCCTGCATGTGGCCAGGCGCGGCTGCTGAGGCTGTGCCCGCCGGTGTGCGTGCTCACGGCTGCCCCGCTGACCCCGCGCCGCACACACCCTGCCCCTCGGAGTGGCGCCCAGGAGCTGCACCAGACGGGCTGTGCAGCCAGGTTTGCAAACAATGAAGAGAGGCATCTGGCTGGCCTTGAAGCTGCCTGTGGGAGTCAGGTGGGGGACGGGGAGGGGGCGAGAGACGGGCTTGGAAGCCAGAGCAGTCCCGGCGACGTGTGGCTGTTGCGGCCAGGCCCTGGGAAGCCGTGGGCATCTCCTGGGTCGGGGGCGCAGCAAACGGGGTCAGGGGTCCTCTGGCGTCCCAGAGATGCCAAGATGCAGTGGAGGGTCCTGGGGGTGTGGACTGCCTGGAGGCCCCCTGGGAGTAGGGGGCAGCTTTCCCTCAGCCTCACCCCACCGTGGGCCTTGATGGATTCATGTTCAGTAATCCGGGTCCAACCCGACACCCCTGACAGCATATTCCGGGGCTTGGGGGGCTGAGGCCTTCCTCTGATGCTTCAGCAAGCATGGCGGGGTCTCTCAGGCGCAGTGTGACAGTGACCACACACGTAGAGCACCGTCCTGTGAGGGAGCAGGCAGCTGACGGGTCTCCTCACGGCTCGGGGTTTCAACTCCTCGCGTCTCCGCTTAGCTGGGTGCTGGCCGCCCCGAGCACGCCCTCTTCTTGGCGCTCACGAGGCTGCACACTTCAGGCCAGAGCCGTGAGGGTGAGGCCGCCGACTCAGGAGAGCCCGGAGACAAGACCAGAAATGCGTCCAGCCATGCTGCTGTCACTCATCCTCACACGCACGCACCCTTGTGAGTGCAAACCCCCCCACACACACGTGCGCGTGCTCCGTGCAGTTCATGCCGCGTGAGCCCCGCACGCCTCAGGGGCCGCACACACCTGCCCGCGTCAGCGCACACAGGTGGGCTCGCAGCCCCTGCACACACCATGGCACCCCCAGCACTCCGGGTCCTCCCCCCGACATCCCACATCATGCCAGGTTCTCGCAGATCTGAAATACCAAGAAGCAGGGCTCCAGGGAGCGTCCCGGTCCCCATTTGCAGGGGGGATGGCGCTCTGCGCGTGGCCTGCACGAGCTCGTCAGACGGCAGAGCTGTGCGACGACCGGCCGCCTCGGGGAGCCCCCAAGGCGCTTTCTACACCCGTCACTGGCACAGTTCGGAAACAACTGGAGGCCTAAAAATGAAACTCCTCCCGGAGACACGACAGGTTGTGCCCGCACTTAGCAACCGGCCGGCGGGGCCCTCAGGTGTGCAGCGGGCGCCAGAGCCGCTGACCAGTGGGGCCGTCTGGGTCCAGGTGGGTCGGCCCGAGCGTCCAGTTTCCACGGCTCGCCGGTGGCCCTGAGGGAGAGGCGGGGGCGGAAGCGTGGCTTGCCTGAGCTCCCTGCCCCACACACCTGCCGTTACGGGGTCGGGACATTGCAGACGGCACGGACTCACCTCAGCGTCTCATTCAAAAGAGCCTCCCCGGCCCCCCACAGGCGCTGGGGGTCACGATCAGGCCAGGGCGGGGTGCCCAGGACACTAGGGGGTGGTGGAAGACTGTGCCGCCTTCCGAGGCCACCTTTGTCACTGACAGTCGGGTGGGGGTCTCCCCTGCCTGGGTGGGGGGCCGGGGCGCTTTGAAAGCAGGCCACGCGGTGAAGGCCGCTGGATGTCGGGGCGAGAGGCGCGTCTCCCCGCTGCCGAGGTGGCCAGCGGGGGCAGCTCACAGATATCCGCGGCAGCTGTCCTGGCCACGAGCCGGCCGGACGAGCCTCTCTCTGCTCCTCGTGTTTTGCTGTTTTAATTAACCGGCTGCCGGGAGCCAGGCGCAGGGTCCGCATCGGCCTTCACTGCTCGTTTCTGGGGCGAGAGGTGACTTGAGGGACCTGGGCTCAGGGACAAGACAGCCGCGCACAACGCAGACGGTCCCGGGGGCCTGGGCAGCAGCGGTGAAGAGCCCGGGGCTGCCCCCAGCAGCCACACGCACTGGCCGCTGCCTGCCCTCCCGCCCGCTCGGAAGCGGCTGCGCTCATCCACTTCATTTGCATGATTTCAAGCATCGTTAATAGTACATGGCGTGAGGAAAGTGACGGCTCTTCCTCCACCCAAGGGTGAAATTGGGTCTAGTAGGAAATTAGTTGACTTAGCTGGCCCGTGATGGACGCTGGCGAGGAGACTGCAAGGAGGCCGCGGGGGGACGTGGCTCTCAGCCCGGCGATGGGGTCTCCCGCCTCCTGCCCAGCGCTCGGTCAGGGAAGTGCCGGAGGGCTGGACAGGAGGGAGGGTCCTGTTTCTCAGCTCGCTGGGCTGGGCGGCAGCTAACCAAGATTGGGGCCTGGGGGGCCGCCTGGCCCAGGGGGCAGGGCCGGGGGCGGGAGGCATGGGGGGTGGAGGCGTGGGGGCCCCACCCAAGGCTTTTATTTTGTCTTCCCACAGAGGATGAGCACCTGCTGGGAGGGAGGTGGGGGCCAGGGGGCGGGGAAGAGGGGGACCAGTGGAGGTGTGAGCAGTGGGGAGACTGTGCTCTGCAAGCTCCACCTTGCCGAGGGGGGACACTGGGACCCAAAATGGCAAAATACTCAGGGTGAGCAGGCTGGGTCGGTCCGAGTGGGGTGTGGCCCAGTGTGAGAAGTGGGGAGCTGAGACCTGGGGCGGTGGGGGGGGTGATGCCTGCGCTCAGTGGACTCCTGCAGGGGGCTTCTGCCCCTCCCACTTTGCAGGGAGGCTTAAGGGGCGCCCAGGTTCCCCCACCCCCACCCCGTCCCTCTCCCCTGCCCTCTTTCCCCTCAGTCTCCTGCCTGGTGGGGTCTTGCTAGTGCAGCTGGATGCCATAGAAAGCTGGGGTCCTCTGGGGACCCTCCTCCCTTCCTCAGGATCCCGGAGAGATGGCTTCTCACGCCCCGCACCCCTCCTGGCCCCTCGCTCACCGCCTCTGAGCCCCGAGACTGAGCGCCTCTGGCAAGCCCACGCCCTGAGGCCGGCCGGACAGGAGTGGGCACCCCTAGCTCTGGGCTGGGCTGGGCGGCAGGGGCCGCCCCGCGCCTCCGAGATCCTGCCCGGCCCCAGGGCACTGTCCGTGGGCACTGATTGCAGCGCCTGCGTTCTGGAAGCTCCGTCCTCCGGGCTGGGCACCCGGGCTCTTGTCACGGGAGTGGGTCCTGTCTGCAAGGGGGCGGCGGCGGGAGGTGCCCCTCGCTCGTGGCAGCAGCTCTGGGGGGTGGGGGGTTCCCGGGGCTGGGGGAGGGACTGGGCAGGAAGTGTCAGCTGCCCCCCAGGCACCCGGGCGGAGACCAGCCTGCCCCTGCCGGGCACTGCCCCTGCCGGGCAGCTGACACCCGCCTGCTCGGCCTGTGACCCCCTCCGCTGGGAGCCTGCAGTTCTCGGCTGAGCCCTACAGGCCACCGGCACCTGTGGGGACCGAGGGCAGGCCGCGGTGCTGGCCCCAGAGGGCTCTGCTGGCCCAGGGAGGGCCGCGGGCCGGCAGAGAAGGGGGTGCAGGAGGGAGCCCCCCGGCGCACCTCACCTCCCTTCCGGGAGCAGCGCAGCGGCCAGCCGGCTAAGTGGGGCGCCCTTCATGGAGCAGGGCCTGTCCTCGCGCGGGCGGGTGGACGCTGGCTGGGCCCGCTGTGTGCTCCCGGGGACGAGGAGGCCGGTGCCGGCCTGCGGCTGGGCCCCTGGAGCCCGCGGCCTGAGGGTGAGAGCCTCTCTGACAGGCCCCCCACACAGGGAGAGGAGGGCCGGAAGGTGAGCGCTGCCCGCCAGCCAAAGGCCACGGGACACGCAAACGGGCCTTCAGTGCGGAGGGGACGGCGGGGCCTCGGGCACCGCGGCTGGGCGTGGGGGCGCAGGGGCACCGCGGGGTGGGGCAGGTGGGGGGCTGCTGTCACGGCGCCACGCTCAGCGTTCGGGTTCCCAGAAGAGGGGTGCTCCCCGCTGGTACACTTCCCCTCCCTCCGTCCTCCCTTTTGACTTAGCAGAGGGTGACCAAGCCTTCCTCCTCTGGGTGCTTGTGAGCCCCCACGCTGGCCGCTGGGGTCGGGGGCAGAGTGGGGGCGGAGGAGGCGTCAGGGTGCCGGGGGGTGCTCAGTGCGGCCTTTGCCCCCAGAGGGCCGAGCATCGGCGCTTGGCCTTTTCCTAACTGAGGCTGCGCTGAGCTGCGTCTTCTGGGGCCCCAGAAACGGGCTTGTAAATAAAGGGGCCAGCGGCAGGGCGCCCCTGGGGGTGGCCTGGGCGTCTCCGTGGCCCAGGCCTGGCCCGCAGACCCGCGCCCTGTCTGAGGCAAAGGGGGCAGGGCCCCTGCTCCGAACAAGCCTAGCAGCCGCGCCGGGAGCGGCGCCCGTCAGGAGCAGGCCCCTCTCGGGGGAGTCTGCAGGGTGCCTGTCTGTGGGAAACCGCTCCGCCTCCCGGCAGGGGCCCCGGCCAGACGCCCTGCCCGCCTGGATCGTGGCTCCCCCGCCCCCGGAGCCTCTTGTTCAGTGAGGCGCCTGTACCCCTGGGCACGGCCCCCCGTGCGCCTCTGTGAGCCTCCAGGGCGGTGTGCCAGCCTCGCCGCCCTTACAGCCCCCCGCCCCGCCACTCACCCGGCCCCATGGGCGCCGGCGTGGGCTCCGGTGCCCCAAACACAGGGCAGGTCGGAAGGCAGGTTTTTCTTTCTTTCTTTCTTTTTGAAGATTTACTTACCTATGCATATAGAACTGGGGTGCAGGCCAGAGGTGCAGGGGCAGCGAGAGGCTTCACCAGAGACAGTGGCGAGCAGAGCAGGCGGGTCACTAAGCACTCTGCTGAGGGGAGCAGCGGGCGGGGCAGGAGGGTCCTGCGCTCTGGGGGTCACCTCCGGGGTCGGGGATCGAACTGGTGCTGCAGCGGCTGCAGCCTGGCTTGCTGTGCTGCGTCCTGACCCCTCGCCCACCAGGGAGGGCCGAAAGGCGGCTTCCGCGCCGAGCGGTCTCTTGGGAGCCAGACTCTGAGGGCGCCTCTCTCAGTAACTTAGGGGTGCCGCCTGGCCGGGGCAGCTGCCCGCTCACCGTGCCCCTGGCCTTCGACCTCGTCTACACCGACTACCACGGCCTGCAGCAGATGCGGCAGCACATGGGCCTGTCCTTCAGGAAGTACCGGTGAGTGGCGGGGGCGGGGGAGGTGGCGGGGGGGGGGGACGGGCCGGGGGCCAGGCCGGGGCGGGCGGGCGCCTCCTCTGGCGGACAGTGGCCCCACGCGGCCCCAGGGCGAGAGAGTGGCTTTGTGCAGGGTTTGGCTGGAAGGATGGTGCCCCCCGCCTCCCGCACCCCACTTCCTGTCGGAGGGGCTCGGCCTCCGGGACCTGGGACACGACTCAGGAGCCGTAGCCGGTGGCTCTTCGTTGCCTCTCTGCTTCGGGGTGCTGAGGGCTGGGGGAGAAGCCACCCAGGTGGGGCAGAGGGGTTGCGGGGTGGGGGAGCCCGCCGTGACCTCCGCCCGGGGCTCGCAGCCCCCCGGCCCCCCCAGGAGGGCCGCCACTGCTGCGGGGTACACCGAGGCCCTGCTGTTCATTCTGTTTGCTGCAGCCCCACTGACCCCCTCGTGATGTTATTGGGGGGAAAGCGGCAGCCGCGTTACTGCTCTTATTATTAATGTGAGCTCTCCCTCCGGCGCGGGGCCTCCGCTCTCAGGTCTCGGGGAGCAGTGCTGCCGCAGCCGTCTGTGGCCAGTTCTGGGTCCCTGGGCAGGGAAGGCGCCGGAGAGGCGTCCTGGCGGGGTGCTGCGTCTCCGAGGCTCCCTGCTGGTCTGCCCCTGGGGTGCGTGAGGGGCTCCTGGACTGAGGCCCGCAGGCCCGCCTGCGCGGGGCAGCCTGCACTCGGCGCAGAGCAGACCGCGGCCTTCC